CCGATAGGATACATATAGATAAAAAGAAATCAGCTCCTGTGATTATGGGGGTCTGCAAACAAAGGATCTGCCCTCTGCAAGCTGGTGGCCCAGGAAAACTGGTGAGTTTCAGCCTGAGAATGAGAAGAACCGATAGCGGAAGCTCTAGGGCAAGCCTGAAGGCCTGCGAACCAGCGGAACCAGTGCTGTACGTTCCAGGCTGAGTGCTGGAGAAGACCAAGGTCCCAGCTCAGCAGTCCAGCAGAGAGGCTGTTCGGGCCATCAACTGATTGGGTGAGGCCCACCTATATTGGGGAGGGCCATGCTCTTGACTCAGCCTACTGATTCAAACGCTAATCTCATCTAGAAACACCCTCACAGACACACCCAGAAATGAAGCTTAGCCAAACATCCGTGCACCCCATCTCCTGGTTAAACTGACACACAAAATTCACCCCCACAAGGGTGGCAGGCCCTGAGCACTGGAGCTGTGGGCTTGCAGGTCCCATCCCAGAGCCCCACTGGTGGGTTTCAGGGCCCATGTATATGACCTGCTGAGGCCTCCAAGAGAGGAACTAGGGTGGAGGAGAGCTCCCCTGAAGACCAGTGAGGCTGAGCTGTAACTGGGTAAATTGTCAGCTGGGTGGGAACCCTGGACCCCCCGAGCCTTAATTTCTTCAACTTCGAACGGCAATAAAATACTCTCCTCGAGGGGGTGAGTGGGTCTCAGGTGAAACTGATAGAAAACCACTTTTTCAGCTGCAAAGTATAGCACAAATAAGACTTCACCATATCAAGAATCCCAACCTGGTTCCCATCTTCTGGCATGCTTCCTTCCCGGGGCTTTTATTTCCCCATCTTGCATAGGGCTGCCAGATAAAAATATAGACTGGATACTTTTTAATATAGGCCCATCCCAAGCTGTCCCATTGCCTGGGACACACTTATACTAAAAGAAAAAAGAAATGTGTGGGGGCCTGGCTGGCTCAGTCAGTAGAGCATACAACACTTGACCTTGGGGGTTGTAAGTTCAAGCCCCACATCGGGTGTAGAGAGAACTTAAAAATAAAATCTTGAAAAAAAATGTGTTGTTTCTCTGAAATTCAAATTTAACCGGGTGTGCTGATTTTTATTTGCGAAATCTGACATCTCTATCTCTGCAGGAAGCCCAAGGTGAGTGCAGGCCTCATTTTAAGTACTTCCCCATGCCCTTAGATGACCAGAAGAGAAGTTTCTTTACATCTCATTATCCCTGCCTCAGGTGGGGAGAAACCACAGGGCTCCAGGGAGTAAGACAGGAGGGCCTGGCCTCACCCCAAACTAGGCTCGGCTCCGCCTGACCAGCCTGCTGCAGGAGGGATGGGATTGGGGGCTGCTCTTCTCAGAGCTAAGGACAGCCTCCGTCCTCTAAGTAATTATTACACACCATTCTTCCTGACATGCATGTTATTTAGGGTGAAGTTACTCTTGCCTGAAATTTACTTTAAAATGCCTTAAAAAAATATACTGCATTTATGGATGGATAGAGGAAGGGATACATAGATGGATACATGATAAAGCAAAACACAAAGTTAGTGGTAGGGGGGCGCCTGGGTGGCTCAGTTGGTTAACATGACCGACTGAAACCTTTGCCTCAGGTCATGATCTCAGCGTCCTGGGATCGAGGCCCGCGTCAGGCTCCCTGCTCGGTGGGAAGCCTGCTTCTCCCTCGCCCGCTCCCCCTGCTTGTGTTCCCTCTCTCGCTGTGTCTCTGTCAAATAAATAAATAAAATCTTTAAAAGAAAAATGCTGCAAAAAATTAAAACGAATTTTAAAAATCCCGCTCGTTACAGAAAATCTCTAATCTCACAACTCAGCGATATTTTGTTGTATTTCCCTCCTGCCTTTTCCTGTGCCTTTGTTGTTTTACAGAATCGAGATCATTCCAGCTACATTCCTTCCTTCCTGCTTTTATCACACACCAACCACGGTCAGGAGTTTGTATTTATCGTGGGCCAGGCACTTACCCAGACTTACCTCATTTAATCCTCAATGTCGTAGTGAAGCATCTCCCGTGTCAACGAACCTGGTCCACGAGCGTCATTTGCAACGATGACGGGGTATTCCGTCGCACAGAATTCTCTCACTGTTCTTGGAAGTTTAGGCTATGTCCCATTTTTTTAGCATTATAGGTACAATTTCTGGAACACCCTCGGGCAGAAGTCTTGTTGCTCATCCATTGTCCCCCTTCCCTCGGGATGGCTTCCTAGCCTGAGCATTTCTCTGGCTCCATCTCCCCTTAAAGGCATTTTGATGTCCTTTCTGGGCTACGTCTTGGGGCCCCTTTGGGGCTGGAAGACTTGCTCCCAGGCTGGGCCCTGGAACCCAGGGCGGGTAGGGCTTCACCCAGGTGCCCACAGCAAGTCAGCGTCCTGTGAGTACGGCTCCAGGTATCTCTATCTACTCTCTATCTTACTGGAGAGGGGCTTGTTGGGGGAGTGGGGGTCAGGTGTCTGGAGGCCCATGGGAGTCTGAGCTTAGAGGACATCTTCTGGAATCGGGGCTGGCGGGACATCTAGAAAGAGGGTATTCATCAGCAAAGAGCCCTAGAAGCGGGAAGAGGTCTTTTCAATTTGTTTTTATAGTTGAATGTGTCATTTAAATTCCATTTCTGGGGGGCGCCTGTCTGGCTCAGTTGCTAGAACATGTGATGCTTAATCTCAGGGTCATGAGTTCGAGCCCCATGTTGGGCCTGGAGCCTACTTAAAAAAAAAAAAAACAAATTCCATTTCTGTCTAGAGTATCACCACTTTCCAATATTTAGAAGATATTTCCCTCCTGTTTCTCTAGCTCTGTGTTACACCTGGAGTTTAAACTCGGGCCGCTGCTCGAGGCTGGGCACAGGCAGGGAGATTTGAGGATGCGGAGCCTTGGGGACCACTCTTCCTTCTGCTCTGCCTTTTTGGGGAGGTGTGAGGTCCTGGAGAGCAAGGCGCCTGGGCTGGGTGACCCTGGACACATCAGTTCTCTCCTGCTAGCCTCAGTTTCCCCATTTGTAAAGCAAAGGCAGTGCCTTCTCTTCCTGTGGGCGGTCTGACAGGGTGTGCGGCCCAGGGCCAGACACACAGTAGGCCCTCGGGTCACGAGTGGGATTGGCCGCCTTCTCTCACCGCCCCCTTGGGGAGGTCGCCTTGACTCGCAGACTTGGCTCTGTTCCATCTCACTCAGCTCTCCTCCCTGGAGCCCTGGAGTGGAATGTTTTCTCTTCCCTCCTCCTCCTCCTTTTCCTGTGCACTGTCTGTGGGACTCCTCCAGTGTCCCGGGCTCCCCAGGGGAGGCCTGAGCCCTCTCTCAGCCCGGCTCCTGCCCCGTAGCCCACCAGGCTGTTTCCAATTTGGACGCCATGCATCTTGCCCCTTCAGATCACAGCCGCCTCTTTGATGGAACTAATGATGATCTAGGACTCCGGGGCCCCGGACCTCCCCAAACTGAGATAAATCCTGCTTCTTTGCAGACAAGGGGCCTCCAGCCCCGCAGCTGACGCCCCTCCTCCAGGCTGGACTGGGAGGGGAGGTGTCTCTGGGAGCCCCCTCCTGGAGGGCTGTGTGGGCCTCCGTGGGACCCAGGGAGACAGGAAGAGAGGGATTTCTCCAAGGCTCAAAGAGGGGGTCCCACCACTGGGTGGGGGGGAGGGAGTTGGCAGGTCTGCAAAAGAGCCAAGTGCAACACGTCCACGCTGCCCCTCAGCTACCCTGGGATTCATTGGGATTGACTGGTCACTCTTGAGCACGTTGTGCCTCTGAGCCAGTCCACCCGGTGGGGGAAGCGGTGGGCACCATGTTTCTAGAGGTTGGAGGGCTTGCGGAAGAGCCAGCAGTGAGGGGAGCGGAGGGGCAGAACCTTCTGATTTCTGGCCTCAAAGCCAGCACCCCCTTTCTTCTCAGCATCCCAATGCTGCCCCTCCACGTTCTTTCACTTCCTCCTCCTTCACCCCCTGCCGCTGGCTGCCTGGATTCCACCTCAGATGTATCCATGTAAAAACTCAAAATTCATTCAGGTTTAACTAAAGAATGTTGGGTGTCACTTCCCCCCAGCAAAAGGCTCCATCAAACCACACTGTACTTGACCATCAGAAACACGAGTGGTTCTCAAACGGGGAAGCAAGAGCTCACCTGGCTCCTCCCTTAGGGGTTGAACTCCCAAAGGGACACCTGGCCTTGCTCCTCAGCCTTCTGCGTGGGTGGCGTCAGAGACCCCAACAGCCTGGGCCCCTGCCTATCTACCCTGACCCGTGTGACTGGAAGTTCTGAGCCCTGTAGCTTCTTAGAAGAGGCCTCCACCCAGACTGGTGGTGACCCTTTGCAGGGGCCTGGGGAAGGGATGAAGGTTAAGGGAGGAGAGTGTGGAAGCTCTACCCAGGGTGCTTGTGGGGGGCCAAGCCTGCCTTGTCCAGCTCTGCCACTCTGAGCAGCTTCTGCCTGGAATCCCGCCCTGGAAGCCCTCTCATCTTTCCAGGTAAGGGACGTGTGGTCCCATTCTCTGGACTGGGAACCCTGGGGGGAAGGGGCTGTTACTGCTTGTCCTTGAGGCCAGCCCTTTGCTCAGGGCCTGGGCCTACAGCAGGTGCCCAATAAATGTTTGTAGTGTGGAGCTCGGTGCCCGGCATGCTGTTCAGTCATCCGTCAGACAGCCATGGCCCCCGGAGAGTGGGCTCTGCGGGGAGGTGGCCTGGTGATGCGGTGGGGGTCGTGCAGAAGCGTCATGGGGGCGCTCGGAGGTCTTCCTGCCACGCCGGGCTAGCCCACACACGGACCCTCGACCCTCGACCTTGGCTTTGCAGAAGGTCCCTGGGCTGTGGCTTCTCACCCCGGGACGGCCGCCAGTGCACCCGGAGGAGGAGGCGTCTGCAGTCTGTGCCCATCACCTGAGCAGCACCGGGCGGGGAGGGTAACAATTATTGGGAGAGGTTTGGGGAAAAAAAAAAAAAAAAAAAAAAAAATCATTATCAAATAACTACAGCTTGAAAAAGTTGGCGGGCGGGACGGAAAACGCGGCCTGGATCGCGCCGGGGCGGCCGCCGCCGCTCGCACGCGCCCCGCGGTAGCCAAAAATGGAAGGAAGCACATCTGCAACGCATTTGTGTGATGTTCACTTTTGAGACCGCGCGGCTGGATGGAGGCGGTGAGTTCACGCGAAAGGAAAAGCTCTTTAAGAGGGCTCTCCTTCGGGGACCTGTCGGGCGCGGGCGGCCGCGGGGCTCCGGCGGCGGGAAAGGGCGCCCCCTGCCTGGCGCGGGCGGAGCGGGCACGCGCGCGGGGTGGGGGCGGGGGCACCTTCGCCGAGCCTCAGTTTCCCCGTCTGGACACCGAGGGGGCTGGTTTTTCAGGGCTTTTCCACTGGGGGATGCTCCAAGGGTCTCTTCTTGTCATTGGTGGTTCTCTATGCGTCCCTGATGGAGAGAGAGGGACCGGCCCTTGGGTGGGGAACGGGAGGAGCCCTTCTCATGTCCTGCGGGTTGCTGGGCTGCTGTCATTGCATTCCCAGCCCTGTCTCTACATTCCAGAGCCAATGACGTCTTCTGGGTGAGCGTTTGTCTCCTGAGCTGGGCCAGATCCACCTTCCCCGGCAGTCACTGCTCAGTTGGTGCAGGGGAATGCAAGGGGCCTTCGGTTCTCAGGGTTAGGGGTGAGCTGCCCCCTCCAACCTTCTCCTTCCCAGCCATTCTCACCTCTGGGGTCTTCAACACACCCCCCCTCCCGCAGGCCCCAAACATCCCTGTCTCCCCTAAAGCCCCTTTGTCCTGATACCTGCCACCTGTCCACCTTCCCCCTGGGGATTTGCTTCTCCAATGGTCCAGCCCTCAGCATCCCCCCTCCCCTGGCGCTTTCGGGGTGCCCCAAGCTTCCCCAGCCTCACATCCTAGGAGGGTCCCACCTGACTCCAGGGTAAAAGCACATTGCAGGCTGGCTCAGGCTTCCAGGGAGCTTCTGAGCTTCTCAAAGTTAAAGGGGAGGCAGGCTGGGGGGAAAGATGCAGGAGTGAAATGCAGGGACTCTCTTCCCTGGGGATCCCCTACACACACACACACACACACACACACACTACCCCACTTTGCCCAGGAGAGGCACAGCCGGGAGCAATCTCAAGGCCCAGGATTTCTGCCCATAATATTATGTCCCTTGCAGGCTGGGCCCACGAGGAGACAGAAAGCACTGGGAAAATATTGTTAGGTGGAGCCAAAAGCAGATAGCCCCTTTGCACAGATCACGGTCAAGTGTGCACTTAAACACGTTAAAGATGGTAAGTGTTGTGTTATGTGTATTTTACCACAATTAGAAAACAGTTTAAAAAAGAAGCAGAGCAGGGACTTGAACTCAGGTCATTTGGCCCCAGAGTCTGGGCTCTTATCTCTGTCCTAGACTGCATACCTAGAAGAAGGGCGATAAATATTTGTTGAAGGAATGAATGGGGAATGAATGAGTAATTTCAGAGGCTTGCACATATGTCAGTTTCCCCTCCATTCCCTGGTGCCTCGGTGTCCCCGTGTCACCCACAGCCCGGGACACCTTCGGGGCAGCGCTGCCCAGCCTGGTTGTGGGGAGGGGCGGCAGCCAGGCAGCCAGGCACCGGGGACGGCCACGGGGACGGCCACTTGGGGCTCTCACATTTTCTCCTTCCTCCTCAGTGTTGCTTTTTCCTGTACACCTCACCTCTAACGTGACCATGACCAGAGGCAGTGTCTGAGAGATTGCTCGACCCTCTTCAGCGCCAACTTCCTTCCTAGATCTCAGTCTGGCGGGTGAGTAGGGTTGGTGGGATTCCATTTAGACCATTCCCCTGGGTTTTGTGGCATCTCAGCTGAAGTCCGGGATCCAAGAGTCTGGTTCTCTGAGCCTCACCTGGCTGTAGGAGTCGGTTTCTGGATAACAGGTAAGAGAGTCTCTTTTGCCATCACTGGTCAGAGTTTGGTCAACCCAGCCCCAGGCCGTGCCTCAGTGCTGGGCTGCTGTAGGAGCATTTCTCCTGGTTGAACCCAAGGCATCTCTCCCTCTCTTCATTCACTGCATCTGCTCCTTACCTGGCCCAGACATGGCACAGGTTGAGAGGATTGGACAGAGAAGTTCAGGGTTAGCCAGACCTGGGTCAGCTTTGAACTTGGACCCCGGACAGACCCAGAGGGATGATCAGGGGGCTTGGAAGCTGGCTGGCTTACAGGTGATTGGTGATCACAAGTCCCGACCCTCGCCCTCCCAGGGTGAGAGAAATGTTTAGTCAGGAGGTAGTCCCTCAAGTGGATGGATGGACATCTAGGGGCAGGAGCAGATAGGAGGAGGGACCAGCAGCCTGGCAGCCATGAGTGAAGCAGAGGTTAGGGCTCTGGGGTCTGGGCAGGGTGGGGATGAGCAGATGTGGAGAGGGTCCCAGATGGCCAAGTGTTCTGAGCAGATTGACAAGGGCAAGGTGGGGCCCAGGGTGATGTGGGGCCCAGGGCCCGGGGCTAGGCTATAACTTCGAGACCCCCCCGGGAGGATGTAAGACACTTTTTAGGACTGGATACCTGGTCAGACAGAGCTCACACCATGGGGCATCAAGAGCTCTTTGCTAGAAGACTGCTGGGAAGTGGAAGGAGGGGGAAGGGCGGATTTCTGTCGCAGATTCTCTTACTTTGCATTCATCATGAATAACCCAGAGCTCCCGGTTCAGGGGCCAAAGCAAGCCGCTCAGCCCAGTAGACCCAACCATGTCTCAGTTATCCACCTAGTGGATTATTTGCAAACCCCTGCCTTTTCCCCGCAGTTGGAAGGAGCTCAGGGCAAGCTGAATCACTTCCACCTGCCTCAGCTGGCCCTGTCTGGAAGATGAAACCTGGCTCTAGCAGGACAGCTGGACATGCCTTTGACATTGACTGTGAGGGGCCCGCTTGTCCCGTCCAGTCTGGACCCAGGGCCCACCTGGGCTTGCTTTTCCCCTCCTCGTTTTTCCCAAGAGGCTGGTTCTGGCACCAACTGTCACCAAATGGTAAACAGCTCAGCACAACCCTCCCCCCCTCCCCAAGAAGCTTAAGATAAGAGACACCCCTACGGGGAAGGAAGAAAAAAGCCTAACAGGAAGCCAAGTGGGTAAACCGTTACTGCATCAATGTGAGTGTTGTGTCTCTGTCCCAGGCGAGAGACACTGCGCCTTTGGCTCCCAGGCTGGGGCGGTGGGGAGTCACAGGGGAGAGATCTCTGTGCACCTGGGTAGGGGGCGGGGGGGGGACCAGGGAGTGGAGTCACCAAGTCAAGCCCTTCCTCTCGTGAGCCTCTGGGTCCTGCCAGAGTCTCTCTGCAGGGTCACTTCTGAGAGGCCTCCTGAGGGGGAGGCAGTCGGGAGGCAAAGTGACCAGGAGCAGGGACCCTGAGGCCGGACAGGCCCACCCTGATGTTGCTGAGCGTCCTTGGGAAGTCACTTGGCCCTCTTGAGTGCCCTTCTTGAGACCCTTCTGAAGGTACCCCCTGAACCACGTCCTGGGGATATTGAGGGAAGTGACTGACATGATTAACGCAGGTGAGGTGCCAGAGCCCACCAGTGTCGGCCACACCGTGAGTGCCCCGTAAAGGGTCCCCGCTCTTCTTTCCAGCCGTGGCTGACTACTGCTGTCTGCCGGAGACGGGCTGGTTGGTGCCTGTTGCAGGTCTGGAACCTGGGGGGAGAAAACGCCCTCAACCATCCAGAGCTGGGGAAGCCCCCTACCCCCACCCTGAGCACCATCTTATCGCAGAGACAGAGAAAGAGGGAGACAGGGAGGTAGACAGAGACAGAGAGGTCTTAATCCTAGCTTGAGAAATATGAATCAAGCACCTTTTTTTTTTTAAAGATTTTATTTGTTTATTTGAGAAAGAGAGAGCACGAGCAGGGTGTGGGGGGCAGAGGGAGAGGGAGAAGCAGGCTTCCCGCTGAGCAGGGAGCCCGATGCAGGGCTCGATCCCAGGACCCCGGGATCATGACCTGAGCTGAAGGCAGACGCTTAACCGACTGAGCCCCCCAGGTGTACCTGAATCAAGCACTTTTAATTCAATGCACCCACCGTTGATTAAGCACCCAATGTGCATGGGCTGGGAGCTTGAAAGATGGCAGAGTTGCGGGGACACCGTGTGTCCTCAGCGGCTCACTGTCTGGTGGGGGAACTGGAAACTACAGGCTGTGCTGGGGTCAGGGAGAACAGAGGAGAGCCGAGCATGGGTCGGCGGGGGAAGGTGACAGAAAGGAGGGTCCCTGGGCCCGGGGCCCGGTCACCGGGTTCCATACATGACCCTGACAGCAAGTTGGCCTCCCCTGGAGGTGAAGGAATGAAGTGCAGGCCAGTGACTCTGCTTGGCCTGGGAAGGGGCGTCCAGGCCTCTCTCTCCCCACCCTCTGCCCTCCTTCCACGCTCCCTGGAGTTGCCCCACACTGCCTCCATCCCCTCTTCCCGCCCATGCCTCTTCTGTCCCCCAAACTGCGGGAATGTGCACCCCTGTGGCAGAAGAAGTGGGGGGGGCTGTGGGGGGGCGGGGCCAGCCGGTCTCCCAATGCGGGGTCCCACCTCCTAGGAACCCTGAAGAGCTGCTTCCAAGCCCCTCGGCTGCCGCGACAGCACCCACTCACCCATCTCTCCCCCATTCTGTCCCTTCGCCCTCCGGTACTCACCTCTGAGCGCCCGCCCGGGAACCCCGCTGCCCCTAACACCCCTGCCTGGACGTCCCCAGGACAGGCCCAACTCCCCATGTCCCCAGCTCAACTCTGCCTGTCTCTCCTCTCCAGAAACGCCGCCACCGTCCACCCCGCTGCTCAGGCCGGAGACACCTCCCTCCCTCCCTCCCTCTCGCCTTCGGCTCCCCATTGGACATCACATGGTGTGAGTTCCAGCTCCAAGGTGCACCCCCCATCAGCACGGCCACCACCCCGGTCTCCGCTGCCACGGCCCACGTCTCTCCCTGCTGAGAACTTCCTAACGGCTTTCAATGAGATTTAAGATAAAATCTGAATTCTGTGCCACAGCCCGCAAGGCCTCCTCCATGATCAGTCTTATGTCTCCCTAGACCGGAGGCTCCGTGATGGCAGGACGGGGCCACTTCTACTACTTGGCAGTTCATACTGCCTGGCACATAATGGGCACCCAGTAAATATTTGTGGATCTAACTCATTGACTGACACGCTCGCTCGTGTTCTCCTTCTAGGGCTGTTCATCCAGGCCCTCCCCCATGCCGTGTCCTGCACTGGTTTGGGGAAACAGGGTAATGGGGAGAATCAGAGGCCCTTCCTTGGCCTGGTGGTGTGCCCAGGCTGGGGAATGGGTGACACAGAGTACCAAGCCCAGGACACAGGGCTCCGTCCTCCAGAATCGCCCTTCCTTACAGGCTGCGGCCGTCTGGTCCTCTGTGAGTCAGGCCAGTATGGGCTTAGGGTCAGGGATCGGGGAGCACTCACGGGGCTCCCGGAGGGTGTCGGAGAGAATCCCAGCCCTCTGCCATTGCCCCGAGCTGGACGCATTGCAGAAGCTTCTCCATGCCCTTTTCATAGGACCCTCGCATGACCACCTCACTGGCTGGCTGCCATCACTATGGCCGTGACGTAGATGAAGGAGCCAAGGTTCAGACAGGGCAGGTGACTTTTCTAAGGTCACACAGGTAGCAGCTGCAGGAACCAGAGGTATCGAGCATTTTCTGCATGCCATGCCTGGTTCTCAGCATCCTAAGTAAACTTTTATATGGAAGGCTCACATACTAACCCTGGGAGGTACATTGGGTCATTTCTAGGCGGGTAGCTGGAAGCCTGTTTTCACACAAGCCTGAACACCGCATCTCCTGCAGTCCGTTCCGATGAGAGCTTCGTCGACGTGTCTGTTTTTCATTGCAAGCTTCCAGAAGGTGGTGGTGACAGTCTGAGGACCTTCTCTGAGGCCTGTTCTGTGAGAGATGACCCGGTGTCACAGAGAGATCTGGACCAGGAGTCACCAAGCCTGAATTCTAGGGAGGCCCGAGACACAGGCTATACACTTGGGACAACAGCTTCTGACATCCCAGGGCCCTGTCCCTGACCAGCGGGGTGGTCTTAGCTTCAGTGTCCCTGTCCTTAATCTGGGAACAGTAACAATACTCACCCAACTATGCTGTTGGGTAATGATAATGTACATGTTGTTGGGGGTCTGGGGAGGCCCATAAATACAACCTCTTCCCCTCCCAAGCTCAGAACCCGGTTGACACAGTTGCAGGAGTTGGACCTCTCTGTGGGTGGCCGATTAGAAAGGAGCATGCCCAGAAGGGACTAAACTGGGCACAGTCACTTTCTTCTCCAAACTCCACCAATCCGTGGAGTCCATTCTCCTTGGGAAGAAGTTAGGTCACTGGAGTGGATAGGTTTTCCTTTTTTGGTTAAGCTTGTCCCATTTGGGTTCTGTCACTTGCATCCAGAAATCCCACCTGCTGTCCCCTTGGAAAGTTCTGGAAGGTAAGTGCCACGAGAACGGGGACTTTGCATTGTTCTCTGCTGTCACTTCAGTGTCTACAACAATGCGGACCTTATGAGAGGTGCTCAAATAAACATGTGCTTCATGGATGGTTTCCATCGCTCCGGTGGCCCCATCAGGGCAAGATGGCAGGTCCTGAATGATGCCACCTGCCTTGTTTCATCTCCTACCTCCTCTCCCCTCCCCACTTTCTTCTTTCCTTCTGCAACCTGGCCCTGAGCTAGCATTCTGGCATGCAAAAATTAGGCCCAGCCCAAGGGCCTTGCCTTCCCAGAGCTCAGATTCTGGGTGGGCCAGTGGGATGGAATTCATATGCCCACACGAGAAGTCAGATTATAAACGTACCCTTGAGGCACAGACCCAACAGGTTGGGGCTTGGAGACGGAGAGAATTTAAGGTGAGCTTCTAGACAAGTCTCTTCTGCTCTGTGGGCCCAAATCCCTGCCTCGTGGACTTGGGTTTACAGTGAAAAGGAACAGGGTGAGGCTCGCGGTCAGCTGGGAATACAGTTCAAAAGAGTTGAGGTCTCAGGAGGGGTCTTCAAGGGGCAGAGGTATCTACTGGTGGAGACCCTGAGGCTGATTGTCCAGAAGCCCTGACTGTCCCCTCCTGGGGCTATTCCAGATTCTGGGCCTGCCTGGAATAGCAAGGTCTCCAACTCAGAAGGCTCAAGGAAGCTGGAGATAAGGAGGAGAGGCCTGAGGCCATGGAAGTCCCTCCTGGCCCCTTGGTAGCTCCTTGTGGATCTGGCCCCAGCTCTGTCTTGGCCCATCCAGCCCTGGCTGCCCTCTCTGGTTTGTTAGCTGTGGGATTGTCAGAGGATGAAATGAAGATCCCCAGCCTGAGTGATTGCAGGAATTCATTACACACTTGACTATTTTTTTCTAACACCTACTAATGTCCTTCATGTTGGGCTCAAAGTTCTGGACCGCTCCCTTCTTACAAAATATTCAGGGATGGGGGGGAGATGGGGGAATGTTCCAGGATTCCTCTGGCAGGAGCCAGCCACCAGCAGGCAGGTGGGGAAGACCCAGGGGGGGTCTGTGCGGGGTGGGAGGTGGGGAGCGGCTGAGGGGGATTGGGAGATAGGAGTGGGCTGGGGAGGTCAGGGTTCACTTTTCCCTGAAAACAGCCCTGGGTTAGGAGGCCAAGCTCCTGGCTTTCTTACACAAGTTACTGCCTTTCTTGGAGACTCAGTTCCATCATCTGTAAAAATGGACCTCATTAGTGCTCCCCCAAGGATGGTGGCAAGGTCAGAATGCATCATGGTGTGCATGCTGATATCTGGGATGGACAGCAGGCCCCTAACAAGGGCTGGATCTGAACGGCCGAATCTGTCTGAATCCCCCTGCAGAACTTGGAACAGAAGGCGGTTTTCCTGGCCAGGGTTTCCCTGCCCACTTGGCCAACGTTTCCTTCCCTGGTGTTTCTGGTGAAATTTTACAATTCACAACGCTTTCCACTGCCTGACTCGTCATGAAGCAGGACCTTGTTTGATCCCTGCTGGGGGGGACAGAGGCACAGGAGGGCGCTCCCCACTGGAGTCTGACCAGCTGGCTCCCCATGGGCTATAACTTTGTCCCAGTTTACTCATCCAAAAAATGCAGAGAAGTCAGCCTCCCTGATATGAAAGTAAGATATGTGTGCATCGGGGTGAGGGGAACAACCAGGAAGAACATTCAGAGGCTTTTCTGTTTTGCTCTCGCCCCCCACCATCAGCAGCGACTGCCACGGACCCCCTCAGCAGCCCCACTACTATGGAAGCTTGAAGGAAGGATCTAGAATGCCCATGCTTATCCCAGAGGAAGCCAACAGATCCAAAGTGGCTGCCGTAGCCCTTCCCGAGCCCCGATCCAGAAAGCCTGTCATGCCAGAGCTGCTTGAATTCCTGCAGCGTGACCCACCCGGTGACTGAGCCCCTCCGTCCCTCCCCGGCAGGAAATGCTTGATCTGCCCGGCCATGTGGAGGGACAGAAAATCCATGCCTGAATCAGGGAAGCCCTAAGGTGTGAACGTGAGGTTGCGCCCTCCCTTTCCCCACACCTGACCGAGAGGAGAAGCAACGGTGGGCATCCTCCCCCAGAAGAGTGACGTGCCAAGGGGGGCAGGGGGGTGAGTGGCCCGTGGTCCTTCCTGCTCGCAGGCGGGAAGGGGGTGCGTCATCTGCAGAGAATTTCATAACAATAGTACAATCGATCTAGAGTTTGCTGTGCTCCTTATTATCACTGTGTGTTGGCGAGGCTACATGAGGTCCGTGATAGAACACTCCTCTGCACGGGGGAGGGGCAGCGCCCCCTCCCCTCTCTTGCTGCGCCCTCGGGGCACAGGGCCCTGGGAGGCTGGCAGCTGGTTCTTCTTCGCTCATGCGTGGTGCCCAGGGCTGGCCCTCCTTTCTGATTGGTTTGGCCCTGCACAATGTGGAGGTAGAAATGCACTTGCAGGGGTCAAGAGTCACAGAGAGGTCAAAGTGCCAGTTTAGAAGGCAAAGCCCTTCTCCGCTTAGAACCCTCCCGGCCTTGCCCTAGTGATATTAGAGGGAGGCGGGGGGTCGAGGCCCCTGCAAGCCCTCGTCGACAGAGGCAAGGACTTTGGATTTTTTTTTTTAATTTTTTTTTTTTTTAAAGACTTTATTTATTTGACAGAGAGAAACATAGTGAGAGAGGGAACACAAGCAGGGGGAGTAGGAGAGGGAGAAGCAGGCTTCCCGCTGAGCAGGGAGCCCGATGCGGGGCTCGATCCCAGCACCCTGGGACCATGACCTGAGCCGAAGGCAGACGCTTAACGACTGAGCCACCCAGGCGCCCAGGACTTTGGATTTTGTTACAATCACAGTGGGAAGCTCTGGGAGGGTTCTAGGCAGAGGAGGGCTGTGATCTGATTTATGTTTGGGGAGAACGGGATAATTCAGGAAGCTGAACCCAGGAACGGGCTCCGGTGAGACTTCGGGACGGCGTTCTTTGTTTTTCCATCTACAAGGCTTTTTGGATGTCTGCTGTGTGCCAGGCTCCAGGCCAGCACGGGGTTGGGGGGCTGGGGGTTAGCATGAGTGAAACGGAGAGGACCCTGCCTTCAGGGGGCGCAGGGCCTGGTGAGGGGAGACAGACATTAATTCGACTATCGTACCAACATCGACGACGCTGACCAGTGCTGGAAGGAGGTGCGAGCGTCCTGGAGCCTCAAAGGAAAATGTTCTCGAAGGAGGGCTTTTAACAGAGATCTCAGGACGCGGTGAGCTAATCAAGTAGGTGTGCGAAAAGCAGGGCGGGAAGGTTGTCCAGGGGCCCCGAGGCCAAGGGGGACGAGGGGACTTGGAGAAGCTGCAATAGAGCCAATGTGGTTGGGAGTACGATTACAAAAATTTTTTTCTCGTAATGAAAACTTTTAAGATCTACTCTCCTAGCATCTTCCAAATACACAATACGGTATTGTTAACTGTAGCCCCATGCTGTACAAGGCATCCCCGGGACTTCTTTATTTTATGGCTGGGAGCTTCTACTTGTAACCCCCTCGTCTCCAGGAGAGAAAGAAAGCCACAGCCAGGGGGCCCGGCCGGGGTGTGGGGTGAGTCCAGCGGGATCCGCGGACACGGCCCTCTGGCACGAAGGCGCCAAGAAATACGACTTGTTTCTTCTACGGGCACAGTGACCGCCACCTTTGGTCTTGATAAGTAGATTGTGTTGATTCATGGCTTTGGGCCTCAAGTCCCAAAACCACAGTCTGGCTTGGGATAGGTTATTGGGGAGTAGAGAGATAGCTGGTCAAAATGCCGCCGTGCATCTGCACGCTCTTAATCATGGGAAACCCTGTCGAGTTGGCACGGGGGTTGCCTGGCCTTGTCTGGTTTTTCTGCTTGGCCCCTTGGGTGTGAGCACCTTTGCATGCAAAAAGCACCTGGGGGCAGGAACTCAGGCAGCTGGGCTGGGCCAGGATGCGGAGGCTTCCCACTCCCACGAAGCTCTGAGGAGGTTGTTGCTGGGGTGTGTGTGTGTGTGTGTGTGTAGTAACAGCTTTATTGAGATATAATTCACGTACCATGCAACCCACCCATTTGAGATGTACAATTTAATGGTTTTTACTATATTCATGGGGTCGTGCGACCATCACCACAATTTTAGAATATTTTTAGCACCCCCAAAAGAAACCCCAAACCCGTTAGCAGTCCCTTCCCCCTTTCCTCCCCTGCCCCAGCCTGTAGCAACCACTAATCTGCCTTCTGTCTCTGTAAATTTGCTTATTCTGGACATTTCGTAAATGGGCTCATCGAGTCTGGCTTCTTCTACTTAGCATCATGTTGATCTAGCATCATGTTGATCTTCTACTTAGCATCATGTTGATCTTTGAGTCTGGCTTCTCCTACTTAGCATCATGTTGACAAGGTTCACCCGTGATGTAGTGTGTATCCGCACATCGTTCCTCTGTACTGCCCAATAATAGCGCGTTGCGTGGATAGGCCACGTCTTATGCACTTATCACCAGATAGGCATTGTATTCTTGCCCCTTTGGGGCAAGAACGGTGCTGCTATGAACATTTGTGTGCAAGTTTTCATGTGATCCGAGGCTGTCATTCCTCTTCGGGTATCCACCTGGTTGGGGAAGAGCTAGGTCACATGGTAACTCTTTATTTAACCTTTTGGGGAAAACCTAGACTGTTTTCCAAGGCAGCTGCACCCTTTTTCACTCCTACCAGCGGCAAGGGAGAGGTCTGGTGCCCACAGCCTCACCAATACTCGTTAGAGTCTGCTTCTTTATTACAGCCATCCTACGGGGTATGAGGTGACTTCTCACGGTGGCTCTGATTTACATTCCCCTAGTCATTATGTGGAACATCTTTTCACGTGCTTATCGGTCATTTGTAAGTATTGTTTTTTAGAGAAACGTAGATTCTGATCCCTTGCCCATGTATTTCACTGGCTCGTTTGTCTTTTTATTATTGAGTTGTAAGGTTTTTTTTTTTTTTTTTCAAATATATTCCAGGTAAAGTTCTTTATCAGGTATATGATTTGCAATATGTCGGGCAAGCTGTTGTGATTCCTGGCAACCATCCTCTGTTGGGTGGGATCCTGTTTTTCTTTTCCTGACAACGGAATTCCAACGAGTAAATGTGGAAGGAGCGACGGGCTTGAGAACCACCATTTGGCAAATGCCGGGGTGCCGGAGTCCAGCCCCAGCCGGGGTGGGTCTCTCATAGGAAGGGACGGCGTCGGCGAATGAGGAGACACAGACACAGGATCAGGTTGCAAGCATCTCCTCCTGACAGCCTCGGAGGAACTTTATTTATATGTTAGGATATTTTTGTTTTTCCATACTTTCGTAACATGTGATTATGTTTTTTTTTACAATTGATTGAGATAATCTTAGATCATTTTTTGGATCACAGACATAGCCTTCTTTCATTTTTCCTTTGTAATGATTAACATGACCTTTATTGATTTCCGCTTATTGACTCTCGCTAAAACTAAAAAACAGTACGCAAAGAGAAAGGTGCTAGACAGAGCATGACCGTCTTGTTATTTTGTTCTATAGAAACTAATTCTTCGTGGAATTAGTTTCATTATGATTGCTTAGATAGGCATAACTAAGATGAGTAGTCACTTTATCATGACACCCCAGAAATATTCCCACAATTATAAAGATTGCCATAAACAAAATGAAAGAGAATGACAGGAGCCAGCTGTGGAGTCTCCTGTTTTCAGGATCGTCCCCCATACTTGGACCTTGTCAAACAGCATGAGTAGCTTGGCTTGCGCCACCGGGGTAGAAATAGTTTCTGGTGAGAATCTTAAACGGGTGTTAAAATTGGTGGGCAGAGTGTATATAAGAAGCGGGACATTTCCAGTTTTAAAGTACCCTCCCCACGGGATACTTACTGGGAAGCGACAATAGCAACTTCACACCGGAGGAACTTGGCAGGCAGCATCTCAATCAAATGGCCAAGGTTAATATCAACCATATTGGGACGAGCTGATGTCGTGTGCCACCTGGTATGATGCAGAAAAATATACAACCCGTCTTTTGTGGCTTTTTTACCCAAAATGCATACCCTGGATTGCATGGCGAGGAGACATCCAAAAAAGCCAAATAGAGGGGTGTTCTAGAAAAAAGTGGCCAGTACGGACACAAAGGTGTCAAGGTCGTGAAAGCCAAAGGTGAGGAACTGTTCTGGATGAAAGGAGACCAGACACTCGTGACAACTGAAAGCAAGGTGACCCTAGGATGAATCCCAGACTAGGAAAAAAGACATTAGGGCAACTATCTGGGAAATGCAAATAAGGTCTATTGATTAGGTAGCAGTATTTTTCGATTTTTATCATATCACTGTGGCCTATGTTGACATTTAGAGAATCTGGATAGAGTAGATGGGGATTCTTTGTACCATCTTTGCAACTTCTTGGAAAGTCTGAAATTATTTCAGAATGAGAAGTTAACAACAAGGACAACAAAATCTTGCTTTCAAAACTCCTTAGGTTCCTGTCGCCTTAGGGAAGAGGCCCAATTTCTTAGCCAGATTGTCGCCAACCTTGCTGGCCTCACTCCAACCCACACAGGGTGGGTCTGCCTGTTACCCCAAAGGCAGCCAGGAGTAGGGGGGCATCCTGGAAGGGTTTCGGCTGGGAAGGGCCATGTGTCAAGTCCATGGCATCTTGGTGGGTGGATTCGACTGGACACGGAGAAGCCAGGGGAGGAGAGAATTTGCAAAAGTCCAAGGGAGAGACAATGAAGACAGAGAGGCCAGACTCCAAAAACATTTGGGAGGTGACATCAGTAGGAATTGGTGATGAGAATATTGTGTGTGTGTGGGGGGGAGAACCAGTGGGGGAAGCAAGGGTGAGGCCAAGGATAGAGTCCATCTGGGTGGCCGTCCAGCGTGCACAGTGTTTCATATTCATTCCTGCAAATGTGTTCTCTGTGCTTCCCCACCTGCTCTGAGCCTAGAAGGCTGACCACTGTGGATTGCATCCCTCGGCCTCTCTCTGGCTTCCAGGTATGTTCAGCCAATGAGAGAGCAGCAGGGGATTACAGGACAGGCAGAGAGAGAGGATGGGGTATCCCCCCAGTGCCCACTCTTCCAAGTGTGGCAATAGCTACATTCATCACCCAGTCATGGGGGCTGGGTTGTGTTGCTGCCTCTCGGTGCCCCTCCTAGAGAGAGGGGTAGACTAGCGGCTGATCCTCGGCGCCTCGCCATCCCTCGTCGGTCCTCTTAGCTCTCACCCTTGTCGCTGGAGAAATTATTCAATTTCTTCAATCCTCGCTTTGAGTGCGAGATCTGTTTCTTACCAGGTCCCTAGCAATATATACCCAGTTACCAATGCCTTCTCCGGAGTTTGTCACTGCTCCTGTCATGTCTCCAGCACTATGAATGGCTAGTCCCTGGGGGAAGAGGGAGCTTCCGTGGAGTTCCTCTGTCTCTCTGCTCCAGTCTGTGCTGAGTGGTGGAGGGTGGGCCCTTGACCGGACCAATTAGAGTCCTTCCCTGGGACGTTTCCGAGTGGAGAGATGCAGTCCCTGGTGATGTTAGTGAGTGTTAGAAGCAAATGCGCCTTGGGCCCGCTGGTACCCTGCGCCCCGCGGCTACAGATGATACCCCAAATCCTCCCATGGACTAGGCTCGTTCAAGTTGGTTTCCCATCACGGACAGTCGAAAGCATATGACTAATGTAACTGTTCAACAGGACGGTGGGGTCCTAGCACAGACGGAGCTCCATACCGTACACATCTGTCCCCGGGGGCTCGTATTCTGGAGCCGAAAGCCCCTCTGGGCTGGACGCTGAGATGCAGGAGTCGTCTGCCACAGTAGGGGAACTGAAGCCATCGGGACGGGTGAGCTCTGAAAAGGGACAGATTTGGTACCCAGAGCCCGTCTTCCTCCCAGGTACCTGTTTCCCGTGAGCACTGTTTTCCGCTGCTCAAGCTGCTACAACAGAGGATCGCAGCCCTCATGGCACACTAGGAAAAGCAGACCAGTTAAACCTGTCTCCTTGGAGGTGGGGTCCGGGCATCAGTGGTGTGTCAAGCCTTCCAGGTGATTGTAATGTGTGCAGAGGAATCAGCTGCCCCTGCTGCTTTGGAAGGGGTGCTGCGGGCCTGGTTCCAGGAGGTGGTGGGCGCAGAGAAGATGCAGAGGGCACATCCTCTGTGCTCGAGGCTCCGGTGCAGGTGAGGAGCCTCCGAAGCCTGAAACAGCAATCAGAGAACAATGCAAGGCAGCCTGTAATTAACTGCTACGCCGCGTGCTGCCCA